GGCCGAATTTTATTCATCAACCGACAATCTTGTCGGCTTCATATATATGAAAATTTTCGAGCAATTGGGTTTGAGCAAATTAGCGGACACTTAATTTTGACAATGTGAAACAAAACTCAAAAAAATTTCTTCAGTCGCAATTTGCAAGCTTCAAGCGAAGCGGGCAAGTTTGGACTACGCAGGGCTAACTGCAATTTTTTCTGGCTACCTGCAAAAAAACTAAATATGCGGACATGGTGTTAAGGTTTTCGGTAAATTCCAATTTCCAAAGTTTCCAAATAATATAATAATAACGTTTCCAATTACTGTTCATTTTGACAATTATTGCAATTTTTGATTGTCGCGACCTCAACCGCTACAAATTTCAACCAATCTTTACAAGGTCAACGAAGTGTTTTTCATCTTCTTAAGGTTACAGAACACCTTTGAGTGTTAATTTTGCCTAAATTTTTTTATTGGTTTCCATGAAAGCATTAGACTAGTTCTACTATCTGACCAAGTTTGAACGAAAAATGTTGAAAACTCGCAGAGTTATTTAATAAAATACATTTCGCTGCAATAAGAAAAACATTGAAAATGTAATATACAAATTCAATTTTCTCCCGAAACATTTTACGGTAATTACTGATTTTCAAACGAGTTGTGCTCCTGCGGGTTTTAACCAATTTTTCTCAACTTTTCACAGGACATAGCTAAAGACGTCAGTTTCAAAATTGTGTTCGGCTTTTTTTTAATTTTGGATATTTTAAAAATAAAGAGCAATTCACTCAAACAATTCAGAAATATATTGCAGTCGTCAAAGAAATCGCCATATCAGCGGAATGACGAAATAAACAAAAATTTCCGAACACAATTTTTTAGAACAACTATTTTACTGTATAAAAATGATATTTTCATAAATATATCTTAAAACCAGCAGGAGCACAACTCAAAAGCGTAACGGTACCGCGATTTAAGATTTTCCTGAATAATTCTTACATTATTTTATTGTTTGTTAATTTTACAACTTTACCATATTTTGCATACCCTGGCGAACATTTGGTGAAAATTTGATTAAAATCGGACTGATATTGAGCGCGCAGTAGCGGTTTTCCGCAAAACGCCAAAAAGGGTGTCCTGTAACCTTAATGTACAGTTCGGAAAACCAATCCACGGGAGCTTACTGTACAATACAACACGTTTGATATTAACTTACTCTAGTAAATCGATAATTCATACCCAGGCTCTTTCTTCAAAGCTCAAAGTACCGACGCAGAGTTTCCAGGCGCAAAAAACGTCACATTTTTATCCATGATTTTATATTGAACAATCTTCTCTGATGGCCGGCCTGTTGACATGGCAACATCGTGGTCAATTATTTCAAGCTGAAAATGTGAAGAGAAAATAGATATTATTTCTAAGCTTGTCCTTCTGCGTGGAGGTCACTTTATTTATACTGGATAGCTCTATCAGTTCTAAACTATTCTCCCTAGAGGTCCAGTAAGGATGCTGTGCTTAGTGGTTATATTACTACCTTGAAAAATAAGCAGAAACTCGACGTTTCGCGCGAAGGCCCTTCGTCAAGAGTTAGTATAGCGAGTCCAGTAAGGATCATCTCTTATTGATCCAGTAAGGATCAGTAGTCCAGTAAGGATCATCTCTTATTGATCCAGTGTTACTACAGGAGGAAACCTAAACTAAACTAACCTTATTTCTACTGGATAGCTCTATCAGTTCTAAACTATTCTCCCTAGAGGTCCAATAAGGATCATCTCTTATTGATCCAGTGTTACTACAGGAGGAAACCTAAACTAAACTAACTTTATTTCTACTGGATAGCTCTATCAGTTCTAAACTATTCTCCCTAGAGGTCCAATAAGGATCATCTCTTATTGATCCAGGGTTACTACAGGAGGGAACCTAAACTAAACTAACTTTATTTATACTGGATAGCTCTATCAGTTCTAAACTATTCTCCCTAGAGGTCCAATAAGGATCATCTCTTATTGATCCAGTGTTACTACAGGAGGAAACCTAAACTAAACTAACTTTATTTATACTGGATAGCTCTATCAGTTCTAAACGGTTCTCCCTAGAGGTCCAGGAAGGATCATCTCTTATTGATCCAGTGTTACTACAGGAGGAAACCTAGATTAAATTAATTAATTATTTATACTGGATAGCTCTATCAGTTCTAAACTGTTCTCCCTAGGGGTCCAGTAAGGATCATTTCTTATTGATCCAGTGTTACTACAGGAGGAAACCTAGACTAAATTAATTAATTATTAATACTGGATAGCTCTATCAGTTCTAAACTGTTCTCCCTAGAGGTCCAGTAAGGATCATCTCTTACTGATCCAGTGTTACTACAGGAGGAACCCTAAACTAAACTAACTTTATTTATACTGGATAGTTCTATCAGTTCTAAACTGTTCTCCCTAGAGGTCCAGTAAGAATCGTCGCTTATTGATCCAGTGTTACTACAGTTTTAAACTGCTCTTCCTCCTAGAAGTCCAGTAACAGCCCTCTCGTATTTTTTCACTGTTACCACAGAAGGACCAGGAAAAAACCTGTGGCGTTTGGTAGAGTCAAACTAAAGGCAAGCTTCTCTGGTGAAACTGAGATGAAAATGTATTCAGAGAAGTGACGCAAGGAACAAACAGCGATGGCGGAGGTGAATGGTAAGTATTTAAGCCGAGCACAAATTAAAAACAACCCAACATCTGTTTCAATTTGTTAGATATGTAATACCTGTCCGTGTACTTCTCTACAATAACCAGAGCTCAGTCCTTTGACATGAAGTTGCGTGTCACATTTATAAATCAATTGTCGTTCTAAAATTTCTTCTTCGGAATCGCCATGGTCGTGATCGGCATGCACTAAGGCCACCAGACATCCAGGCTATATAGAGGAGAATGAAGTTTGCATGAGAGTTGGCGGTCACGTGACCTGTGAATTAATGCTTTCCTTTATATAGCTACGGTTTGTGGCTATAAAGTACGTCTGTTTTCGGCACACCTTATAGCCAGGGTTTGTGGCTATAAAGTACGTCTGTTTTTGGCAAACCTTATAGCCATGGTTTGTGGCTATAAAGTAAGTCTGTTTTTGGCAAACCTTATAGCCAGGGTTTGTGGCTATAAAGTACGTCTGTTTTTGGCAAACCTTATAGCCATGGTTTGTGGCTATAAAGTACGTCTGTTTTTGGCATACCTTATAGCCATGGTTTGTGGCTATAAAGTACGTCTGTTTTTGGCAAACCTTATAGCCATGGTTTGTGGCTATAAAGTAAGTCTGTTTTTGGCATACCTTATAGCCAGGGTTTATTGCTATAAAGTACGTCTGTTTTTGGCATACCTTATAGCCATGGTTTGTGGCTATAAAGTAAGTCTGTTTTTGGCATACCTTATAGCCATGGTTTGTGGCTATAAAGTACGTCTGTTTTTGGCATACCTTATAGCCATGGTTTGTGGCTATAAAGTACGTCTGTTTTTGGCAAACCTTATAGCCAGGGTTTGTGGCTATAAAGTAAGTCTGTTTTTGGCAAACCTTATAGCCAGGGTTTGTGGCTATAAAGTACGTCTGTTTTTGGCAAACCTTATAGCCAGGGTTTGTGGCTATAAAGTACGTCTGTTTTTGGCAAACCTTATAGCCAGGGTTTGTGGCTATAAAGTACGTTTGTTTTTGGCAAACCTTATAGCCATGGTTTGTGGCTATAAAGTACGTCTGTTTTTGGCAAACCTTATAGCCAAGGTTTGTGGCTATAAAGTACGTTTGTTTTTGGCAAACCTTATAGCCAGGGTTTGTGGCTATAAAGTACGTCTGTTTTCGGCACACCTTATAGCCAGGGTTTATTGCTATAAAGTACGTCTGTTTTTGGCATACCTTATAGCCAGGTTTGTGGCTATAAAGTACGTCTGTTTTCGGCATACCTTATAACCATGGCTTATGGCTATAAAGTACATAGAGAATAATACATGCATGGGTGCTTGGAAATACCAGATTTATTTGAACATGATATCTCACGAGTGAGCGCAGCGAAGGACGGAACGAGTGAGATATCATGTTCAACACGAGAAATAAATCTGGTATTTCCAAGCACCCATGTATTTTTCTGTTTATTATATAAACAAAATTCAGTGAAAAAAACAAACAATAAAACGTCCGTGGCAATGTGTTTTACAACAAATGATATTTTCACACGTAAAAATATCGTATTTTTTACGTGTGTTTAAATACGATTTTTCTCAGTGGCCAAAAACTCTATATAACACTTATGTAGTTATGTTTATATAATAAACCTGTTTTCGGCAGATCTTATAGCATAGATATAGTAGCCACGGTTTGTGGCCATAAAGTACGCCTGTTTTTATATGAAGAGTATTTAAGCGAGCGACTGTTCTACCATATTAATCCTGATGATTGACGTTTAGTCCGAAAGTTTGATTTTTAAATAAAACTTTTAACGTTTTTAACCAAATTTTATCAGTGTTCACATAAAAGCAACACAGATATGAAACTTCCTGGTAACATAATGGCCCTTAATCCTTCAATTGTTATTTCTATCGAACAAGACGCCCAAAAATCTCGGCACTTTCAACACTATACCTTCTCGTGTGCACAAGCGGTAACAAGACAATAGTGAACAAAATCCTGTACATCCGTGACTGAAACTCCCAGACTCAGAAACACGGAGACGTCATCGATTAGCAACAAAAACGGTTGATCATTCTGAAACTTGGAGACTTCCTCCAATATCTTCTCGTAAAGTGGTTTTAATGAAAATCTTGGTTCTCTAGAAGAGAGAGTTTTTTACAACAACAACAACAACAACAACAACAACAACAACAACAACAACAACAACAACAACAACAACAACAACAACAACAACAACAACAACAACAACTACACTAACAACAACAACGACAACAACAACAACATAAACAACAACAACATAAACAACAACAACATAAACAACAACAAACAACAACAACAACAAACAACAACAACATAAACAACAACAACATAAACAACAACAACATAAACAACAACAAACAACAACAACAACAAACAACAACAACAAACAACAACAACATAAACAACAACAACATAAACAACAACAACATAAACAACAACAAACAACAACAACAACAAACAACAACAACATAAACAACAACAACATAAACAACAACAACATAAACAACAACAAACAACAACAACAACAAACAACAACAACAAACAACAACAACATAAACAACAACAACATAAACAACAACAACATAAACAACAACAAACAACAACAACAACAAACAACAACAACATAAACAACAACAACATAAACAACAACAACATAAACAACAACAAACAACAACAACAACAAACAACAACAACAAACAACAACAACATAAACAACAACAACATAAACAACAACAACATAAACAACAACAAACAACAACAACAACAAACAACAACAACATAAACAACAACAACATAAACAACAACAACATAAACAACAACAAACAACAACAACAACAAACAACAACAACAAACAACAACAACATAAACAACAACAACATAAACAACAACAACATAAACAACAACAAACAACAACAACAACAAACAACAACAACATAAACAACAACAACATAAACAACAACAACATAAACAACAACAAACAACAACAACAACAAACAACAACAACAAACAACAACAACATAAACAACAACAACATAAACAACAACAACATAAACAACAACAAACAACAACAACAACAAACAACAACAACATAAACAACAACAACATAAACAACAACAACATAAACAACAACAACATAAACAACAACAACATAAACAACAACAACATAAACAACAACAACATAAACAACAACAACATAAACAACCTACACAACAATCACATCAACGACGACGACACTAACCGAAAACAAACAACAGCAACGACAGGGCGATCAGAACAACAAAACAATACTCAACACCGATATTCTATTTGTTAATATTCTTTGACTTATACGACAAAAGATATCATTCTGTGTCAGTATAAAAGACAAAATGAATGCAAGGCATGGAATTATTTTCAAACAAATCTTCAGGTAAAATGTGTATTTTTTAATTTAGTAGTTTTCATTATGGACGTTATTGTTGATGTTATTGTTGATGTTTACTACAGATGAAGTGCCTGAAAGCTTTGCAAAAAAGAGTTGAAATTCAAAGACGAACGGCTGTATTTAATGTAACTGCAACAAAGTTTTACAAAACTTCGGTAAGTGTAAAACGTAGATGCCGTTTTAAACAAAATAAACACGCGTTTTGACGGAATTATATGCTTGTACAAACATGTAACTTCTTATATCTTATGGCTTTGCAAAGCATCAATAGGACTGATAAGCCCCCGTACTACCCATACAGAGACATGTATAGTGACTGTCTCATTCGTATGGTCAAAAATATTTCGACGTTTTCCCTTGAATCCTTGACTCTGGAGTGTTGACAAATCTCGTTTTCTGAGATCCTTTTCTTGTCAGCCGTGCACACATTGATATAACTGGCTTTTACATGTTAGGAAGACTTGACAAGGATATAAATTGCTCGTTTGTATGAGATTTTACTTTATTTATCAGTTAACGAGACGATTTTGGATGTCATGGCTGAGAAGCTGTGAGAAAAGGGATGATCTCCGTCAGATTAGTTTGATCAATTTCGTTCGAAATCACCACAGGTAGGAAGAACAAAGTTAGACTATTTTATTAAGAGTTTCTGATCGTCAAAATGATAATGATTGGCATAACAATGATCAAATTTTCATATTTTTTTCAATACAATATAGAAAGTGTTTGTTAAGAAAAATGCTAAAATACTGGAAGTATTATTGTGAACAGAAAAGATTAAAACAAACTCAGAAATTGAAGGCGGATGTAACTGCAAGAAGAAACATGTTACCCAGGTAATCTGAATGTCACTTTTTCTTCTCAATATTTTAACTTCGATTGTTAAGCATGGTTGGTGGTAATGCATAGTGTTGATTTTGGGGCTGATGTTGCAAACATGTCGTATTTGGTGATTCTGATGGGGGTGTAATGGTTTGATAGTGGTGTGGTGTTGGTGATTATAGATGGTGATGAAAGAGATTGTGTGGTGATATATATTTTGATTGGTTGTATTGGTAGTGGTAATTTTGATGGTGATAGTGAAAGTGGTGTTGGTGATTGCTATGGTGGTATTAGAGAGTTTGAGCAAGACAACGAAGTACGAAGACGAAGGCATACTTGACAATTTTTGCCGTCTGTACATTATCTTGCCCATACTGAGTTGGACGTCACTGGTGGTCGCACAACGTGTCTTCCCATGTGTCGCTGTTTATGAATACTGACCATAATTCTTGCCCTGATCCAGAAAAAAACAGCGAGACATGAAACTATATCCCGTCTTTGTCCTTCTGCCTTCGTGCAGAACGAAGTTCACAACGAATTTTGCCAAAATATTCGTTGTGAACGAAGGCAGAAGACGAAGACGGGATATGGACTCATGTCTCGCTGTTTTAACCTGATCAGGGTAAAGATTTGGGTCATCATTCACAAACAGCTAGACATGAATTTCCAATCTGTCTTCACCCCTGACCCTAAACTCAGAATGCGCAAGATAATGTGCAAGACAGGCAAAAATTGTCAACCACGTCGTCGTCGTCCGACTTCGTTGTCTTGCTCAAACTCTCTATTGGCACTAATTGTGGTGATCGCAGTGATGATAATATCATTGGTACTTGTATTGGTGGTGGTAGTTTTGTGATGGTGGCAATAGTGTTATGGTGTGATAGTGGAATGGTGTTGGACAGTTGGTGATACTGATGGCAGATAGTCATTGTAATGTAGTGATGGTGGTAATATTGATCGTCATAGTGATGACATTGTAGAAATGGTGGTTTTTGTTGGTGGTGACTATGGTGGTTGTTATGGTTTTTTGCTTATGGATGAAACGTCGTACTGTTTCCACTTTATCAACAGGTTTTTCTCTCAGTGGGAGGAATTTGTTGATCTTGTAAAAACACGACGCATAAATCAAGAAAGAGCGGAAGAATTTCGGAGGTATTATAATTACGCCTATCAGAAGTGATGAATATTTCTATGATATGTTGGAGTTTTCTACATTACATTTATTTCCACATTATGTGTTCTTATTAATACAGAGAGTGTCTGTTGGCCAAGACGTTTTACCGCTGGTTACAAGAATATCGTCTCACATTGAATGTACAGATGCTCTATCGAATGGTATTACCATCAACTCATTAATGTTTAACATTGACATTTCGGAAATGCAGCCATTTCGAAGGAAGGGGCTTCGCTTGAAATATCGAAATATTTTGAATCGTTTCCAGGTATTTCTGATCTAAATGACCACAGTTTGTTGTAAAAAACTATGGTACCAACACTGTTCCCAAACGTTTGAAATGCCATAATGATTTAGCGGTGCTTTGTTTTGTGACATTTGTTTTATTCCAGGCGATCATTTCATATGATGAAAAATTGAAGAAAGAATTTTTCCAAGTTTGGCTTGCAAGAGCAAGACAGAGGATCAGAGAAAACCGATTACTGGTTTGTTCCCTGTACTACATGGAAAAAAAATTGAAAATCCATAAAAAGTCATAGAATGGAAGTTGTATAGAAATTGTATGGACCTTCGTTGAAAATAGATTGTGCTTTGATTATCCATAATAATTGTATATTTCCATACTATGGATATAATATCGAAATAGTATGGATATACTATGGATTTAGTGGTGCAATTGCCAATGGACCTTTCCCCTTATAACTAAAATTTCGATCTAGACAAAAATTTCATCACAGCTTGAAAGAGCATCACAAAATTAGTAATATTCCAAAGTTTTGTTGCAAAATCTTGTAAAATGCGGATAATATAGGCTATATTATCCGCATTTTACAACATTTCGCAACGAAACTTTGGAATATTACTAATTTTGTGATGCTCTTTCAAGCTGTGATGAAATATTTGTCTAGACTTGCCTAGATCAAAATTTTGGTTATAAGGGGAAATGTCTATTTTGTAGTATGGATTTCACATATTTTTCCCAGTGTACATTGTAATACCCCGGTGAAACGAGGACGAGAGTTGGCAATCCTACATTGTTATATACTGCCAGGGAGATTTCAAGCTCTAGATTAACCAAATAAAGGTTTGACGAGTGTCCCAACTAACTTTTAATTTAAATACATCTAGCCTTCTCTGCAGCTATCTCATGGGTCACCTCACCCACCTCGGTTGTTGTGGCTGTGTTTAGAAAGTAAATGCCTGCCCATCGAAGGTGATGCCTTCGGAGGAGGCTGGGTTTAATCCTAGAATCGCGTATATTGTATGTCGTGAATGTTTTTATAATCTATACCTAACCCAGGCAAGAGGTGGGGTTCATTATCAACTGCAGTTAAAGAAGAAATGTTTTGAAACATGGAGGGAGTACATAAAACATCTGAACTACGGGTAATGTTACTTTTAATTACGAGACAAGTAGGAAGTTCATTAGGAGGGATGTTTATACATTGTTATAAAAATTCTCTGTTTAGTTCCGTTCGACTGCATATGGCAGTACAACATCAGAACAGGAAGTTATTGTCGATATGTTGGAAATATTGGACAAAGGTATAAATTAGTATTCTCAAACTCATTACTACACAGCTATACGGCTTGTGGAAGAGGTAGTTACTACAGTAAATACTAATTTTCGAACACGAGTGAAATCAGTAGCGTACCATTGTTTTGATTTCATGATAAACAACATCCATAAATTCAAATTTTACGTTAAATTTCTCTTCAAATACTGCTTTGTTTGAAAAGTTAATAAAATTCACTCATAGTCGCTTATTATAATCACTTTAAAACTGTCTTCTTCAAGTAATTTTTAACGCACGTACTTTTTATAGTGTTTGAAAGCACTATAATATGTAAGTGTAGTATATTACTTCAAACCTCATTGTGGATATTGCAAAACTTTGGTTTTAGTTTGTAGTTACGAAGAGAGAGAAATGGAGATTGGTCATTAGGGCTGATTTGCATTACCGTCAGGGAATGTTGAGGAAACTTATTGGAAATTGGAAGGTTTGTAGTCAAATGTTATCTGACCTTAGCTATTAAGACAACACGAACTAAATCTAGTGTACAATACTCGCTTGGCAATTTGCTACTTTGCATACATTTCAGTTGAATGAGTCCTGATCTCGTTCTATACACCATTGAATTAAGACACCATTGAAGCCATCCAAAGGCTATTGACAATGCAGTTTTGTTGGGTTAATTTTTGGTTTTGGATTATTTATAGTTATATTGTAATAATATGAGAGAGATAAAGTCCTTTACTGAAGAAAAGAAGACACGTTATGATAAAAAGACTTTAAGGTGAAAAAGATTGAGTATAAAGTATATGTTTGTATTCTGGTACAAATTGTGGGTTTTCGAAAAAAGACTTGAGCACTCTCAGCACTGTAACTAAGACGTTTATATTTTTCAGGTTTCTATTTGATTGTTGGAGGGAAAACGCTCAATATTTAAAAACAACCAGACAAAATTATCATACTTCGTCTCAACATTGGGAAAATAAAACTATGAAAAAAGTAAGTCATCTGAAAAAAATACTTTTTAACAAATAAGACAATTAGTTGTTCACGGTTTTTCCAGTGTCTCTATATATCTTCTTCTTTGCCTTAGTGCCTGATGGAGACCTTTGTCACTCTGTTCTATGCATCTTCTTCGCTTAGGGTTAATACCTTCATGCAGGATTCACAACTTTTCTCCCTTCTTTCCCTTTCTATCAGATGTGTCCATGATAAATTTCTCCCCCTCTTAATCGTTCTCCTCCCTGCATCAACCTCATCATTCGCATTTCTTATGTTTCGACCAGGTTTTCTTCGTTTGGCGAGTTTATACTGAAGATCGTTCGTGGAGGAAACAGCAAGAGTTGTTTAGTGTCGTTGAAGCCAGGAAACGACTCAACCAAGGTACAGAAAACTCACTGATTTCTGTATATGATATTCTACGAAGGAATGGTGTTCACACTTGCGACCAAAAATATCAACCGTACTACACATTCCAGTTTAACATCAGTGTCGTTCTTGTAGGTAAACTTCATCGTACATTGCATTTATGGAAGAAAGAATATCTGTTGAAAATTTCCTCCAAGGAGAAGTGGACAAAAGCCACCGAGCATTGGAAAAGATGTGTTTTGAAAAACGCTTTTGGTGTCTTCAAGAAGTACAGATTTCTTGGTTATCGGAAACAGGTCGAATAAAATAAACTTGACTACATCGAACTTTATTTTTGTTTCCCTTGGTTTTGCATATGTGCTAAGATTTTTTGTACATTGTATTTTTATATGGTGCAGGTACTACGTCAACAATGTATGTTGTATCATAATGAAAGAATTATTGCTTCACATTGGGGAATATGGCGTTCTAGAGTAAGTATCTGAGTGTGGTCGTTAAAATTTTGTCACCTAAAAGACTTTCTCCTGTCACAACACTGGACCTATTAAGTAAGGCACTCAACAGAGAATAGTCTGGAATTGATACAGCTATCCAGTAATGATAAAAAGCGAGTTTAGTTCAATTTAGTTAAGTTTAGTATCTCTCTTCTTATAAATATGAAACCTGTTCCACTGTATCCTATAGTCACGATATAGCTTGCAATTAACGTTCTTTACGATTTTAGTACGCTGAACGTGTCACTTTTTTGAAGAAATCACACATGGCTCTTTGGATGTGGAGTTTCACTTTACAGCGAAAGGTATACCCCCTCGTGTAATATTTAAATGTGGTATTTTCTACAAAAGCAAGAGAACTAAATGCCGTACAATCTTTGTTCAAGGCTTTTGTATCTTGGTTTCACTATGCTGAGGAGAAAAAGAAGAAGAAAGTTGCCATTACTAAAGCTTTAGAGAGAAGACAACAGTGGCTACATAAAGTGACTGTCGTGCAGTGGATTAAGGTGAGGTGATCAGATTGAAAGAAAAAACAAAAAGTCGAAAAGCTTGTACGGTGCACCTGCACAATTATACACGTCCTTTCTGATGATATGTGCACATTGACAGCCTGTTTGCTCTCAGTCAAAAGGTTACACGGTGCACCAAACCAAGAATACAAACTATAAATACTCTTTTTCTGTCCCGTTCTAGTTTGCAACGTATTTCATTGCTGAGCGAGAAAGATTTGCTGCCACAAGGCATATTCAGGTTGGTTAATACCGTAGTGTTCCGACAGTAATATTATTTTTGTGAAATTTCCCGAGTAGTTGTAACCCGTTTTGGAGCAGATTTAACTCCCCCAAATAAGGGAGTAATTTTAATCCCTAAGTTGGAGTTAATGATCGAATTACTAATTTCCCGTTTACCATTTTTTTGCATAATTTTTGTAGCTTTCCCAAAATGTGCAACAAAGTGTTCAGAGATGTGCTGTACACTGGAGACGAAAGACAGTAAGGAATCGGGGTAAAAGACGTCAAGTTGCAAGCCAACCATTATCGGTTAATACCCACATGGCCTCGCATAAAGCCATCTCCACAGAAAACAAGGGGTTAGCTTTCGACATTTTACGCAACGTGATTTGGTTATTATGATGTATTATTGTTATTCATGTGCTGTATAGTTTGTCAAAAGCTTAAGAACTTTTCCATTCTTTGATTTCTAGAAATACTGCAAAGACGCTTCCACTGAACATTGTACAAAATGTATCATCCGTCAGAAGACCTCGACCAAGGGTACCAGATTATTTACGAGAAAGTTTTAATCTCTCGGAATTATCTGAACACATCACATGTTCAGCTGCCGATAATGAAGCAGTTCCAAGACATTTGCCTCCGAACTTTGAACCCATCACTCAACCTAAACATTTGCCTGAACCAACTGTTTATACGAGCTCAATAACCAGTCGTACAAGTTCTAATACCAGTCAGACAGGTCTTAGAGAGACGATGCCTTTAGAAAGTAGCTCTCGGAATCCTCAGACGTTTTCTAAAAAAGTTGCTTCCGGCAAGAAACATGTATTGCTGCCGCCATCTTCTTTTGTGCGAACCAAGAAACCTGTGAACAATGCACAAGAAAATAATTTTTCTCGAGGTATGTTTTTCTGTAAAATGCCACCTGGGGACAATTACCATATTTTTAACAACCGCTATTTAAATACCAATCTAAACCCTAATCCTTACCTTAATCCTAAATCTGAACCTAATTCTAATATTTGAGACATTTCAGGATATTAATAAGAAAGTCGCGCTCTGTCTAGGGAAAGGCTACGCACTATCTGTCTCTCTGTAAACCGTTTTGTTTCGGTAACTCTGATACGATTGGTTAAATACTGTCACGTGATAATTTAAAATAGATTTTTCTGGAAACGTCAGACTTCATTAATTTCTTAACTACGTGCTATTTTTTCCGTATTTTTAGAAGGTGAGAAAGCAAATAAAAAACAGGCAAGCAAGAAACTGGACGGCCCTTCTCCTCAAGAAATCCAATATGGTTCTGACAAAGTTAACACTGGTTCCTGTAATGATAATCCGGTTTCAGACGCTATCCCGAGCTTTCTTTCTGATAAGAACAGTCAACAGTCAATTGTTCAGCTTCGTAATCGGATGTTAAAGTACTATACAATCAGTACACAGTTGAGGTAACTATGTTATTAGACAGGATTCTTTGTCGACCTCAAAAATCTTGCAAAACAACGACATTTTTAACAAACGGTTTTCGATATTTTCTTTTTCATCTCGTAGGGAATTGCGGCGTAAACTAACGTGTTTACGTCAGTGGTCACGTGACTCGAGGGAGAACGATGAAACGTCAAGTGCAGAAGAAAGGTCGCTCGTGAAAGAGATTGTTAATGAGGTAGGTAATTTTCAAATCATGCTACTCGTCTCCTCATTACCATTTTTATTAACCTGAATCTGCTGCCCGATTTTCCTTTTTCGCGTAAGGCGGGATAAATATAAGCCTGATTAGCCTCCTCTAGGGAATCGGGTTGATCGGGAAAAACTACGATGAATCGGGTATTTTTCCTATATTCGCAGGCTAAAACCATAGAGATGCCTGCGGAGGAGCCTTTTGTAATTTTTGTAATTTATATGATTTTATTTAGCTGTCAGAGAACGTAGAAAGTACAAGTCATAATTTGGAGGAAAGTTACAAGACAATTGCGAACGATCTGCAGCAACTACTGGACAAAGTGTCGTGAGTGAAGTTGGTTAGTAAATATTCGAAATAGATATCGGTGTGTATATATTTTTGGGATATATTTGTCAATTTGATCTGGCCGAAGTGTTTGGCCATAACTATACTAGAGACAGATCAACCCGAGGGTAAAAAAAATAGTCGAGCAGGAAATGGAAATGTTTAATGGGAATATTAAATTCATGCTGCAGAAAATTTGTTAGGTTAAAGATTTTCAATTTGAAAATTTGAAAGAAACCCTGACAGGCATGTTCTACTATGAGCACAACGACATATGGTTGACAGACATCTTTCCTTGAATTTAAAACCATGGTCAGCAACAACAGTACATTATGTTTAGGCACAGCTTTAGGCTTTAGCGCTAAAAAATCAGTTGGTGCAAGAAATTTCTCTCTTCTGGTTGTTGTCCCAGGAAAAAAATTGTTTTCTCGGGAAGGGATCATCTTTTTTATTGTAAATTACAAGTCGAAATATCCGGACAGAATAACGCGTTCTACACTGGGAATGGTTTTGGAAACAAATTATGCCTAAGAACTGGCTTTCCCACTCCAACCATGGTACTTGGGTTTCACGGTGGAAAAGAAAAACTAATATTTGAAGACGTTTGAACTCACAAAATCCATCTAAATATCTCTATATTGCCATAAATAGTCTTAATGCTCTATTCTATATTTATAATAGTTTTAAATATTTTGTTCTAAATTGTAAATAATGTCGAAGTATCGTTCTAAAATCTTTAACTATTGCCCTAAGAACTTAAATACTATAACTAAACAATTAATTTAAATAATTTCTAGTCGTTTAAAACGAGAACAAACTTTCTAGTATTCTACAACTTAAAGATTACTTTGAGATCGTTTAAAATGTGAACTTAAATGTGAAACTAAGTAGCTCTGTATGCAGCACACGAGAGAAACTTGCTGAGCTGACCGCCTCGCGTGGCGACTAGCTCAGGTATGCATTTTCACATCACACGTTGGGAAAACAACTCGACAGCAACATCGTTGATAAGATCGTTTGTATTTCCCTCCATTGTCATCATTTTGACCAAAATCACGGTTAGCTCAGCAAGTTTCTCTCGTGTTGTGGCAGGCTTTACGAACACACGCCCAGGGTATTCGCACAAGCTCCATAGCCTGGTGTTACAATTAGTGGTTACAATTATTTAAGAAGAGTTTTTTGTATGTTACGTAACACACGCTTAAAACTAACGAGCGTTTATGACCACATTCAAAATTTTTATTTTCCGAAAGAACCTGCTAAACGTGTTTCAGCAGCATTCCCTGTTTCTCCTCTGTTAGATACTATATTGTGAAGTTTTGGCTCCATTTTGAGTATACTATACATCTATAACTAAAGGTCACTAAAGTCATCTAATAAATGTAAGTTCATTTATGCACAAAAGCTATACTGTACGCATTTCGAAGAATTTGCATCAATAAAATGAATTGCATGTCATATCTTATTGTTTCTTCGAATTTCGTCTATTTCGCTTTTTGTGAAGCTCACATCTTGCCCCATGATTTCATATGGAGACCAGAACAAGAATGAGGAATATTTTTCACTTCTTTGAAACTTATTCATGGTTTCTTTCAGCGCTAGGCAGACCGACATTCCATCGCAAATCTTTTCGTAGAAAACTTTCATGAATTCTTTAGTGAACTGGCCATTGATTTGCCATAATGTAACCAGGACTGAACTAGCACCAGCTCCAAGGAATGACCGGGCAATACCAAGGACACCCTCGGAAGACAACTTCCCCGTGCCTGTGTAGCAACAGGAGAGAACGACCAGCCGAGCAGACAGCTTGCACCCTAGGACATCACTTTGTGTGAGAAGGTCGGACGACAAGGTTGGATGAGCGCCGTCGTTTGGTTTGTCTGATTCAGGAGCAAGGAAAATGTGACCACTTTGTTTCTGACCATGAGCGGCAATATGAATAATGGACGCATTGGGCATAAGATTCAACACTCTTTGCTTTGTTGCCATACTCCCGGTAACTGGCTTTGCATCTAGAAGTGATGCAAGGGATTCGACTTCTTCTTCCGCTGACGGTAGCGGTCGGAGCTGGGTATGTTTGATTTCAGGATTTCCAACAAACAAAGAACCTCCAATTTTCTTGCTAGTCGCCGCTTGCATGCTTATAGCGAGCACGTGAAGTGAAGGAACAATTTGAATTTCGTATTTCTTCGACAAGGGGCAGTCACTTTCATCGATAAAGGACGAGAAAGGCGCAAGAAATAAGCAGTCGTGTGGAACAATGATAAGCTTAGTTCCCTTTATCAAATTCTTCACTGGGTCAATCAAAGCTGTGTGTAAAAGCTTACGTGTAGGTTTGGCAAAATCGTTGCATGATCCGTCGGCTTTTGTACATGGTGATCTGTACTCACTTTTCATTACCACGTTTTCTGCCTTCATAGCACTACGACTTGTCACCTCTTCTGTCTTTTCTTCACTCAGACTAGAAGTGAATTCTGTGGCATTTTCATCTTCGAAATTGATGACTGTGGACGGTTTGCAAAATGAATATCCTCGCGAAAAATCAACGTGGGCTTCGTCGAGCAATGTTTTGATGAGGCTTTCCAGGTCTTCGCGAGATGTTGACGGGAACTGAGGATCTGAGGTTTTCAACGACTGGTCTTTGCGAGATGTTGACGGGATCTGAGGATCTGAGGTTTTCAACGACTGGTCTTTGCGAGATGTTGACGGGATCTGAGGATCTGAGGTTTTCAACGACTGGTCTTTGCGAGATGTTGACGGGATCTGAGGATCTGAGGTTTTCAACGACAGGTCTTTGCGAGATGTTGACGGGATCTGAGGATCTGAGGTTTTCAACGACTGGTCTTTGCGAGATGTTGACGGGATCTGAGGATCTGAGGTTTTCAACGACTGGTCTTTGCGAGATGTTGACGGGATCTGAGGATCTGAGGTTTTCAACGACTGGTCTTTGCGAGATGTTGACGGGATCTGAGGATCTGAGGTTTTCAACGACTGGTCTTTGCGAGATGTTGACGGGATCTGAGGATCTGAGGTTTTCAACGACTGGTCTTTGCGAGATGTTGACGGGATCTGAGGATCTGAGGTTTTCAACGACAGGTCTTCGCGAGATGTTGACGGGATCTGAGGATCTGAGGTTTTCAACGACAGGTCTTTGCGAGATGTTGACGGGATCTGAGGATCTGAGGTTTTCAACGACTGGTCTTTGCGAGATGTTGAC